TGCTGTGGTCTTCTTCTTGCCAGCACATGTGCCCCAGATATCCAAGCTCTCCTCGGGGGTGAGTTTTTCGGAAGCAGCCTTCTTTTGTGTCGCCGTCACGGGCTTCTTGGTGTCTGTTGTCTTTACACGCTTTCGGAGAATGCGGCTGATTGGGCGGGTGGCGCGCTTGAAATTAACAGGTGTCCCTGGGAGAGTATCCCTCTTCGACGTGATAATACATGCATTTGCGATTCCGCCGATTTTCAACAAGAACTGCTCGCATCCAAACACTTTTTCTGGAACGCCTTGGCTGTCACAGGGAGCTTTGATCCTTGGGGCTTTGCCTTTACTTATCTCAACTGTAGTGATGAGGGAGCCGGTGGCTGGAAGTTTGTCTTTTCCAGTAGTGGCCAGATACATGTTGAGCGTCGCTACCTCTGCACAATTTGCGTAGTTGCCGTGCGTTCTGCCATCATCCCCCTCACATTTCTTCAAAGCTGCTTCGATCAATGGATTCATGGACCGTGCAACCTTGAGGGCGGTCATTGGCTTGGGGGCGTTCTTGATTGACGAATGCATGTATACAGTCGTGGTGCCGTCTGAGTATGCTGTCATGGTGAAAGGCATTTCGTCAAGCATTGGATCATCGGCACTCCATTCTGCCGTGTACAGTGTCCGCATCTTGATTGCAGCCTCGCTTGCGAGGGCCTTCATTTCTTCACGGCCAGGAACTGTAGGCAAAGTAGTGATGGCTCTGTATCCCCACATTTGACGCGTCTTGGCGGGGTTTTGTAAGATATCTATTTCCACTTCCCACGCAGTGCAGACTAGAACGTGGAAGCAAAACAATGCAGACAGAATAAGTCGAAACATGTTGAGGCGGTGATGCAACTGAATATAGATGATCTAGTTGAAATCCGTTGGTTCTCTGGTCTGTTGATCCGGTAAGGTTGACAATCTGGCGCTGGACGTCGAGAACCAAAAGTGCACAAGGTAAAAGAATAAAACGAGAAAAATGTAATTGAAAGTGAGATATTGCTGAAAAGAATTGAATCGATAGGAGAAGGACTACCTGCGTCCGAACTTCCTAGAAATGCTTGAAGAGTGAGTGATGCTGATGATGGAGAAGAAAAGTCTCAACAAACAGGCCGCAATCAGGAACTATATATCCTCCCTCCTCTACAGAGGACTCGTAATTGCAATTGCAGTTACCCAGATTAGATGATGTTCATTCAACTGTATACAATACCGCTTCGCATTACCAGACAGCCACTGAAAAATAAAAATAGTAACTACACCATAATTACCCAAAACGGTAGTATTTCCCTCATTCATCGCGATACCTTTGACATCTGAATAAAATGACAGTCAGCACTCAGTTTCACGGATCTTGTCGGCTTAGGGACAAACTTATATTCCTGATTTGTCGTCGCATATCTGATTATCCAGCCCTATGGCAACCCTGAAACGCGAGTGGGGCCCGGGCCCCGCACCCTTCCGAACAATTCACGTGCTGTTCATTCTCATATGCATATTTTGTATATATGGTCATTCCGTGCTAGGTGGTCATTGGCGAATGGGATAGCTCCCTGATGCATGGACAATTCCCCGCACTATCCAATGTATTTTAGCAAATACTCATCAGCTGGCGCTCTTCATATGCTTCGTTTTCGAACCATGATGTTCGCATCCTATAACACAATGTGCTCCCGTTATATACAAGCAATATCTGGCCCCAGCGTATAAGTATAGTTATAACGGAAGTCATCTTTACCATCTTTGGAAATAGAAATTCAAATCAAATCTCCGTTCAAAAAATATTGACGAAAAAACCAAAGTATCGTAATTAACCTCGGCAGATAAACATAATAAACCGCTTCAAACCCCCCCAACCAATATCACCTGTCACGCCCCTTCTGGCTCCCCTACCCAGTTCGCCTTGCACTCCACATCACACTTTGCATTCCTTCTGGACCATCGTGCATTGCCATGGCGAGCCGCTGCTAGCAATAAATATTCATATCCATGTTCTTTGATGTGTCACAATCCCAATTGTAATTGCAAGATTGAAATGATTTTGATTACAACGTTGAAGTTGATATTGATCAGAATTATAGGCAACTGGGCAGCACTTCTCCCATATTTTTAGATGTAGGCGGTGACGGAATTAAGTTCCAATATTAACGATTTCATTTAACTCTGCATGTGCACGCGTATGCCTGATTAGTGATTTCTCTCATAATTTATAGCAAGTATAAAACATATTGTTACAGACGTCACCCATCCTCCTTCCCAGTCACACACAAATCTAGGTACTTGTTACTCGATGGCATGCACTTTCTGTAGCTAAGGTGGGGAGACTTGCAATGGGGACTGGAAGATAGCTGTGCAATATCGATTGATACATAAATTCAAGTGTTACATGACGTTCCGCGAAACAGATGTATCTGCATCACTACAGATTACTCGGAAGGACAGGCCTATGTACTGCCAATTCCCAGTATTCTTCTAGATCTATTCTCGAACATGAAGCAGTTTTTCAAGTAAATCGCCCCTGTGACTGCGTGCCGTGGCAAAGGTAACGAGGTTACTCTCGGCCGCCCAATCCAATCAGATCAAGCGAGCGTTACTCGTATGATGTGAAACTAACTCACATGCATGCTCTGGGCACGAGATCACTGCGGCTGGTGGAAGTGGCCCGAGGCGTGCCGTAATTCAAGCAAGTCCTCAAATTCCGCTTTCATATAGAGAGCTCCAAGTATGTAATCGTTATCGCCGAATCTTATCACCGAAATTATGTATATAATCTCGATCCATTAATACCTGCTTCAAATGCAATAGGATAACTAATCGCCAGCTGAGGATATATTATAATTAGGAATCACATGGAGAACAGTTGAGATCCTATAGCTAGTACTTGGCCACATGCATACCTATAAACTCGCTGACAAGAAATTTATTAATTGCGATTACCTAGGTCTGTACCTACATATAGGGATATTTCATGTAGACCCAGAGATGTTTGTACCCTCTAGATGTAGGTGGCTCATGAGACGACGGTCCACGCACTTCGGACAGTCCGATGGCTGGCCCAAATGTGCATATGGCGTTAATCGATGGTTAGAAAACGAATACTCGAGGATTTATTGTAAAGTACGACTGCGGGATCATATGCATGATCAGTCATCTGTTTTCTTAGAATCCACGTCACATCATGCTATTTAATGTAGGCACAGGCCGGAACCATAAATAGTATCTCCTGTATATATAATTTACATAATTACGTATATACTATGATCCTTCTTATAATATAACATAATTACCCATTAAGGTAATTAGTCGATGCGTCGAATTTAAATACCAATAGCGATGTCGCAAATTTAAAGTGCACCGGCGCCAACACGGCCATCAGCCATCAGCGCTTCTAGCCACTACTGACTACCCCACATTACAATGATCCCTACGTTGCGAGGGGGTGCAGAGTAATGTCAAATTAAGCTTATTCGCGCTTGCATGGGTGCATGACAATGATCTGTGCACGCTATGTAAGCTTAACGTTTAAGATTCAAGTTTAAGGTTAAGCTTGGATCCTGCAATTGCAAGGCTATATTTATTGCTAGCTATTTCGAGATGGTCCGGATGTAATATATATTCCGACATGTCAGTGCATTTAAATATAAACCTGACGTTACAGCTGGATGATGTCTAGACAACTCCCGTGATAGCATACCCCGATTGCGATAGAAGCATATATACCTGAAGCTTGCGAACCTTGGCCCCGAGGGTATGCTTATAACGGGAGATGTCTGTATGCTTATAATGGGATGCTTATACTTACGGGAGTCATCTAGATCTAGCTAGAGTGCATGCATTGCAAGCCGGCAGTTTTGACTACCAATACTTAGGAATTGAATTGGGGTAGCTTTGATTTTTTTCCACAACCTATAGGTAGATGCATGATCAAATAGCGGTATAATCCAAAACGTAGTTTAACTTAGCTTTGAAAGATACGTTAATTAAACGTTGTCAAAAATGAGCTCATGATCATCATGGCTACGGCTATATAAGCACGGAGACGTTTATTCGGCTGCTAAGAGTGACAGGTGGTGGACGCCCGTAACTTCGCTACATTTGGCAATCTTGGTTACATTGACTTCATCTGGAATGTGAAATAAAATGAAAATGACTTCAAGTTATACGTTAAGTTATAGAATGAGTACGTATGTACATTAAACTTGTAAGCCGACTGCCTTCGATAACATGTAACTACATGTACAGTTTGAATTCCATTCCATGAACGTTAGTTTCCATGGGTATATGCCCAGGAGCTAAGCGAAGCGGTAGGCGGATGGGTTATGTTATGGCGGGACCAGAATAGCAGTATTAAATGTGTAAACATTTTTTGCATATGTTTCAACTCGCGCTTCATCAGAAGAATGATCAAATTTTCAGAACTTGCGGTTATTAAACTAACTTCAATAAACATGAAGGATTTCTTTTCATGATATATTAGTTTTTTGTTTTATAATTGACATTATAAACTATAAACATACTTTTTTTGGATGTTGTAGATATATGCTCCTGGGGTTCTTTCGGGGCGAAGTCCCGGATACCTTAGCCTGGCTACGGATACCTGTATATATATAAGAACTTCTCCGAGCTCAACGCCTAGGTCGAGGCTAGGTAGAGCTTTACTAGCTATAGTACTGTTTAGTTCGAAAAGAAGAAGATAAATATTTATTATCGGATGAATTGAATTGGATTGAATCAACTCGTCTGCATACGTTACTTCATGGTGGTGGGAAGGAATTCGAAATTGTATATATATTGCGGAGCTTGAGGTCGAGGTCGAGTTTCAAGTTCGACTTGAGGGAAATCACGGTGGACTCGTATATATGGATCAATAACGGGAGTTCATCTGCAGCGGATCAACCCCCGGTACTGCACACCGCGATGTTGCGACTCGTGGGGACAAACATCGAATCCGAATCCTCCACCCTCCACGCTCACCCCATCGAATCCCCTTTGTGGTGTAGTTGGTATCACACTGGACTGTAATAGCCTCAACTCAGAACGTTTCGTTTCAGATCATCCATTGGTCACCGGTTCGACTCCGGTCGAAGGGACTTGGTTTTTTTTTGGCTTTTGGTTTGCTGGCTGGAAGTATGTGGATGTCGGTTCGAGTTGGGAGTGGACGGCGGATTAGGTAGGTACGGTAGGTAGGTCAGGCCTGTAGGTCTGACAGAATAGGTCTTGATTGATTTATTGGGAGATGTGCTTGACGTCTTCGTATCACACACAACGTTACCAGGCTGTTCTTCGTGTGTGCGAGCATATACGAGACTAACGTCTTTGGTGTAAGTGGCCCTCGAGGCTGTAGGTAATTAATGTAGTTCTACCTCTCGAGTAGAGTACAAGCACCGCAAACCAAGAAAGCAAGTACCTAGCCTCGTCACCCCAGAGATTCGAAAGCAGCACGAAACCAAGTACCAGTCATCCGGATCCTTAGAAGTGCTATGTATGAGGTATGTACCTTGTAACTATGTTAATACCTACAAACGTATGTATGTACAACACCCCTCTTCAATCTCGTGTCCAGACCCCTCGCAGCGTATACGTACTCTACTTCGAATTCCCCCTTCTCGGGGAACTACTCTACCGAGAGTCATGACATGTCTGAAGGGTTTAATTTGCCGAGTCATCTTTATATATAGTTTTATCCAACTTGCAAGCGAGATCTGCTGTGCATGTGTACCAGATTCCGTGCGGCCTGACATAGGTACCTTAAGTAGGTACTTACATGTCATGTCATGGTCGTATAGACTTTTTTCTTCAGGAGGCAGTCGGATTGTTCGTAGACACACCTTGTTCTCGTGCCGAGATTGAAACCTTGCAGTGGTTGTTTGAGAAAGACGTCTGTCTGTCTATAGCTACTTAGGTCGCCGTTCAGGAATGCCGACAACTAAGTACTCTACCAGGCTAATAGTACATACAAGTAGTACTCTGCGGGGGAGGGGCACAAGTTAACCAGGCTATATATATAGAGGGAAATCGTCTTGAGCTTTCTTACATTTATATAGGTACCTAGATTAATTCACCTGCATCTAGCTAGATCTAGTGTATTCATGCAGGGTACGAGATAAGTAGTATTCATGAATAATAAAAAAGAAGCAGAAGAAGGAAGAAGAAGAAGAAGCAGAAGCAAATAGGACGTACTACCTGGTTGAGTACTCTACCTACTTACCTAGGTAGCTAGTACTCGAGTATGAGGCGACAACAATTACCTATCCTCCCTAGGAGCGGCTAGGCACGAAATCAAATCGGTCAAGTTTCCCCTCCCCTGGTTGAAATCCCCCCCCCCCCCTGTTTTCGTGCCAAGACTGAATAACCCCCCGCCCCGTGCACAACTGGACGAGTACACACAACTGGGGTTTTTTTTTTGTGCACACTTGCTCAGAATGAAAGCTTATAATAGGCAAGGCACGGCTGGAAAAAAAAAAAAAAAATTGTCAAAAAAGCAACAGGAGGTAAGATACCGCGCGTGGTATTTGGAATTATAAACAGCCATATGCATGGCGGTATAATTATAATCGAGCCGTGGCCATTGCATTGCATTGTCGACTCCGTGAGTCGACCTTGCGCGCACAGAACCTCTCCCTACGTACTAGTACTGGGGACTGATAACCCACAGACTGTAATCTGTATCTCAGTTTAAAAAGCACTTTTGCTGCTACTTGGGTTACGTATATATTCTGAGGCCTGGCGGTATAGGTATTCCAAATACCACGGTAACTAGACGGTATTGAAATCCCCACCATGGCCACCCCAAATTTTCGAGAAATTCTTATTGGTCGGCATTTAAACGAAGGGAGGGTCGGTCACGACGACGACGACGACGACGACGACGACGACGGGGAGCTGTACGGCTGCGGCGCATGGTGTGGAGTGGAGTACCTCGCTAGGTCGTGGAGCGCGAACAGGTGGGGGCTGCATCGTAGAGTACCTACTAGAGTAAGTGTCCGTTCTTAATTGCATTAGCGAGCTCGAGGTGGCAATGTGCTTGTGCTTGTGCAATGTTTTTCATCTGATCATGAGAGGGAGGTCTGAACAGGATAGTGAGGAATTAATTGTACAGCTCCTGATGTTGCACCGGACGTCGCTCGCTGTGCTCCGGAGGTCTTTGCATGTTGAAATATGAATCCAATCTCTATAGCTAGCCTGGTGTCCAATCTCCAACTAACTCTCGGCTAGGCCGCCGAAGGCTTAGCCGACCGACACTCCAGTGCTCCTCAACGCTAGTTACTTTTCAAAGCTCCAGTCGATCAATGACCCAAACGCCAAACGTTAAGGAAAACCGCAAGGATCTGTGCCTACACGCCAAGAAATCTTTTGCAGTACCTACCTGGTAGCTAGGTACTATCTTGCCATGCTGTTGTGCACGTCCAAAAAGTAATTGAAACAGGCAATTACCTATCTTCACTCTTGCTGTGAAGGGAAAGGCTCAAATTACTGACAGGGCCAGTTTTTGCGGTAGGTAAAGTAGCTGCATTCATTCCATTAGCTTGCGGAAGGAACTTTCAGACGCCAAGAAAGCAACTCTATGATAGACGATAGTCTCGTGCCCAGCAACTGGCCCGATAGACGAGGACTTTTTATGTATGTTTCACATTATAATAGCCTGGTGTTTCACATGTATGTTTTTTCAAGTATGTACTCTATGTTCGAGTAGTTGTACGAGTACCCGCAAACTGTGGAAAATAGGTAAGAGGCAGGCCTTGCAAATATCTGACGCCTTTTTCCGTTCACAGGTATAAATAACTATAGCTAATCGAACCACTTTTGGGCAGCTCTGTAGCGAAAATCTCGGCGTCTCAAGAGTTTAATTTAGCCAGGCCTCTTCTAGACTTTTCCCAGAGTTCGCGGGTACCGAGGCTAGCGGGTACCAGTGTGTTGTGCAATCAAGAACCTACATGGTGCCTTAGGCGCACGCGCCTAAGCTGTCAACCAATTCTGTCAACAATTCCCTTGTGACCTGGTGTGGACCTGTAGACCTGTGGCGCATGCTAGACATGCTTAAGCTCGCTTCACGAGTACCTACCTACCTAACATACATGTGACATGTGACATGTGGAGTGTGGGGGGAACGAACGTAGAGTAGATAGCCTCAACGAGACTAGAGTCTGGGGGGTGGAGTGGAGTGGAGTATCCATCCACGTCACGCCCACCCCACCCCACCCCACCCCCCCCGCTCCACAAAAAGAAAAATCAAGCCCTCCTTTTTTCTTGTGAAAGTCTCCAATGTACATACATACATTACTTATATAATAGACGACAATCGCACCCTGAGCTCGAGGTCCGTCGCATGATACGGTACAACAAGATTACCTAGCTCGAGTACACGTTAACGAATTTCCTCTGGAATCAGCCTCCACGATCGATTGCGATTCCCCGCAGAACGCCCAGAAGAAGAAGCTAATCTCCATCCGGAGTCTAGAACTCGGGATAAGTAACGTGTCGGTAACGTAGCACCACTCGAGTTACCTAGTAACGTTAACGGTATACAACAAACGCGGAAGAGAAATTATGGCGCAAGTGCAATCGCCCGCCAGATCGCCCCCAGCAGCAGCAGCCGAGCATGCGCTCGAGGCAGAGGTCGAGATCGATGTATGTGTTGGTTTCAAATTTTTTTTATTTTTTTTTACCCCGACATTAATGCATTGTACATGTACTTGCCAAATTTAAATATCGCAAATTGATTTTGCAAAAGGGCGGCGGCGGGATTCTCTCTCTCTCCTCGAGAACTTCATCTACTTCAATTTCCAGCGGAAGGAATGCTCATCATGTGCTCACGCGATGCTTTTCGCCCCCTCTCGATATATATAGGACACCTACGCAGACGAAACGGACTCTGTATATGCCAGGTAAAACACATTATCCTCGTGCTCCCCATGAAGGGAGTACCTAGGTATATCTCTCACTAACACCCCCCCAGCACCACAAGCTCCTCCACCACAACCTCAGTGACCGAATCCGTCTTCGACTTCACCTACTCCAATGGCCGGCGCTACGCCTCGGACCGCTTCACGAAGGCCGAATACCACATGCCCAACGACGAGGAGGAGCAGGGCCGGCTGGACCTCTACCACCACATCTTCCTGCTCATCCAGGACGGCAAGCTGTACACCGCGCCGCTCGACCGGCCGCAGAATGTGCTTGACATTGGCACGGGGACGGGGATTTGGGCGATTGATTTTGCAGAGTGAGTAGGGGGGAGGGGGGGGGGGTAATGGTGATGGTGGCGCTGCGCTGACTCTCTCTCTCTCTCTTGTTGTAGTGAACATCCCCAGGCCCAAGTCATTGGCGTGGACATCTCGCCGATCCAGCCGCGCTGGGTGCCCCCGAACGTCAAGTTCGAGGTGGACGACGTCGAGGAGGACTGGACGTTCAAGGACGACTATTTCGACTTTATCCATCTCCGGACCATGGGCGGGTCGATTGCGGACTGGAAGAAGTTGCTGCGGCAGTGCTACGAGTGCGTTCTTGCCATCTCTTGAACTCCTTTTTTTTTCTTTCCCTCCTACTAACACGATTCATTCCGCCCCCCTCTCACAGAAAAACAAAACCAGGCGGCTTCATCGAGTTCCAGGACTACTGCACCGACACCTACCTCTCCACGGGCGAGCGCCTCAACGGCGAGAACCCCGACGTGTGCGCGCGCCACCCCATCGTCAAGTTCCTGCACCACATGAACCTCGCGGCCACAAAGTTCGGGCGGCCGCTCGACATCCCGCCGCTGATCGAGGGGCTTCTCGCGGACGCCGGGTTCGTGGATATCGTGGTCGCGCGCGAGACGTGGCCGATCGGCGCGTGGCCGAAGGATCCAAAGCTCAAGACGATTGGGCGGTGGGCGCGCGCGGGGTCGGAGGAGGGCTTGCTGCCGTTTGCGCTGTACCTGCTGACGAAGGAGGGGTGGTCGCTGGAGGAGGTCAAGACGCTGTGTGCGGACGCGAAGGAGAGTTATAAGACGCAGAAGTATTACTATCAGGCGTGGTTTGTGTATGCGAGGAAGCCGGAGTGAGTGGAGGGGGGGTGCATCGGGGGGGGGGGGGGGGGGGTATGGCGAAGT